CTTTGTGGAGGTAACATGTAAGCTGGAATTTAAATGGCAAGAAGGAGCCCATAGCACAAATAAAGAGCAAGGGGGAAATTTTGGCAGAAAGACCACATAGAAAGGCCCACATGGGATGAAACAACAGGCTTGAGCTATGTGCTTCAGGGAAAGAGAGAAATATAAGAGGCAAGCAGGCACACTAGGCTTTGTGGGGCAAGATAAGGACTTCAGAGTTTTTTCCTTGTGATGGGGATCCACTGGAAATTTTGAGTGTCAGTAATGACCTAGTGTTAAAAGTTGTTAAATTCACTCGCTCTGCTGGTGAATATAGGTTCTGAGGCACAAGATGGGAGGAGTGAGACTGATTATTAGGCTATTGCACCAGACTGGATGAGAGAAGATTGTGCTTAGACCAGGCAGTGATGGTGGAAATGGGAAAAAATGGGTAGAATTGCCCTCTGCCTGTTCAGAGCTGGTTCCTACCTAACTGGGCAGTAGTTTGTGATTGGGTGCATAGTATCAAGCATTTTATAGCTCAGCAGGTCTCTAACAGCTTCCAAGAGAATCAGCTGGATTCAGCAGGTCTAATTCAGTAGGTCTGGCTTGGTAGGGCTCAGGAACTTACATTTCTAACCAGTTCTCAGGTAATGCTGATGTTGTTGGTCTGAGTACACACTGTAAGGACCGCTTACCTTTACTTATTAAGTTACTGCTTTCTGAATGCTCCACACAGCACCACAACCTGCATCAAATAAAGTTTCTGCTCCCCTGCCAGGTTCTAAATATTTCCCCACTTCTTTAAAGAAATATCCATCTCTCAGACTCACGTACCAGGTCCTTTCAGCTACTCATATTCCACTTAAACCGCATCTAGTACATCTCTACTCACTGTGTCTTTTTGCTCAGCACATGTCCTGGCAGAAGATCTTTAAATAACAGCATTAAAACACACACACACACACACACACACACACACACACACACACACACACACACACAAGTAGCATCTTTGTTGTCTACATGCATTGTTTTTCTTTTTTCTTAAAGGGATATTTTCAAGTAACTTCAAATAGATGGAAAGCAATAGGCTCCACCACAAATGTTTCCTGCTTCAAAATCACTGTCCCTAAGAATCATGCTTTATAAAGCTGAAGGATGAGAAATGAGTGGGCTTCGAGTTCATCACCACTGGCCCGCCCGCCGGACAGACATATCTCTGTTACTGAGGCAGAGTTCTCACTACCTTCATGGAGCATAGAACTAGCCAGGCCTGCTTTTCTTTCCCCAGAAACTGGGCTCAACTGTGTGACAGAACCAGGCAGGCAGATATGAAGCTGGACATTCCTTGTGCTGGTAGCTTTTTTCACATAGCCTTTTTCCATTTGTGATCTGCCTCTTCTGTGCTGCCTAAAAACCAGCAAGAGACTCTGACTCATCCAGACTCCATCTTTATTAATTCATATCTTTTATGAATAGAAAGTAGATGGTCACAATCTCCCAGTCAGGGCTCAGGACCTGCCAGCGCTGGAGTGTGTGCTTAATGGCTCTCCCCTCCTCTCCCAGCAAACACTGAATTTTGAATGGCCAAGGGTTCCACAGCACCGCTGAAATGCCACATTTGCTCTGGCAAGAGTTCTGCATTGTCATCATTGTTCCTAACCTCATGCAGCATTCAAGGCCATGGCTCACCCTTTCATTTATATCTGGGTCACGTAGTGCTGACTCTCTTAACCCTCTGGTCTCTCCTTCTCTGGCTCTACTTCTTCCTAATGTCCCCAAAGTGGTCACACTTAGCTCTGTACACTAAGGTTCAGATTTCTATCTTGTGTTACTTCCCCAGTTATGGCTTTCTCTCTCTCTCTCTCTCTCTTTTTAAAATTTCTATTGACTTTTTTTTTTTAGAGAGAGAGAGAGGGAGAGAGAAAACATCAATGTGAGAGAGAAACATGGATGGTTGCCTCTCACACGCGCCCCTGCCAGGGATTGAACCTGAAACCTGGGTATGTGCCTGACTGGGAATCGAACCTGCCACCTTTGGAGTAGATGGAAGATGCTCTAACCAACTGAGTGAGCCACACCAGCCAAGGCCTCTCTCATTTTTAAATGGCTAATTCTCAAATCTGCATCTCTACCTTCTAACACCTCCTCTTCCCATCCACATGGTCTGTAATCACCCCAAGCAACTTGAATTAAACTTGCTTTTCCCATCTCCAACCAGAAACAAAAATGTTAGTTGATTTTCCCTTCTGACGTCTCCTATCTGTCTCATCTCACCTATTTCTACTGTCATCAGCCTTTCCCATCCAAGCTTCCTTCATATTCTCTACATAGCAGTTTCTAACTCTAGGTCCTCCCACTTCAGCCCTCCACTGAGTTGAAACACCATTTACAATGTTAAATGGCTCCTTATTAAGTACCAAATAATTCCAGGTGCTTTAGCTTAATATTTATGGGTTTCCACAATAAGTCTGCAAAAGACACACTCCCCCAGGAGTGATTTGGAATAGAGCAGGAGCCCACCTGAATGTTAAATTGTATGTTAAAGGTCCCAGTGGCTGGACTCTTGAATCCAAAAGAGCTTATGCGTCTCCATCTCAGTCCAGCCATCACAGCCTTTCACTCTGCTTAACTCCCTCTCTGGCTTTAACACCTTGATTTATCTTCTGCTGGGCCCTGAACCTGGCTATTATTCTGGCTGGCAACCTCTCATCTGCCTCCTGATCCTGGTTGACTATTAGGGGTACAGAGCACTCGGGCACAATCCCTCCTTCACACTCAGCAGTCCCAGCACCTAAGAATCAGATGTGGAAGGTGTTAGGAATGTAAATTCCAGGACACACTCTCACTCAGGTCAGGGGTGTAGCCAGCATCTATAGCAGTGCTTTTCAATAGAATTTTCTATGAAGATGGGAATGTTCTATTCTGTGGCTGTTCAATAGAGTAGCTACTAACCATATGTGGCTAATGAGCCCTTGAAATGTAGCTAGTATACCTGAGGAGCTAAATTATCAATTTAACTTTGATTAATTTAAATTTAAATAGCCATATGCAGCTGGTGACTGCTATACTGAACAGTGCAGATCTATAATTTAACGAGCATCACAGCTGAACAACGGTGTTTAACGCTTTAACAAGCAGCCCAGGTGACCCTCATGCTCACTTACTGGCACATAGTAAGTAATCAACAAATGCTTGTTGAATGAATGGGTGAACAAATGAATACATAAGTGAACCAGAATGTAATTACCTTGAAATTTAAGTCTCTCTATTCTGAAAAAGAAAAGTTGAGTGGGGCTTTCCCAGATTAAAGAAGCTAAAAACCCTTACCAACCAAATGTAATAAATTGACCTTAAAGGGATCCTGGTTCAAAATTTTAAAATATACAGGGTGTCCCCCCAAAATGTATATACATTTTAACAGCTAATAGCTCAATTTTTAAAATGAAATACATTTTAATCACTGCCTTTATAATTATTCAAAGTGTGTGTATACATTTTTGGGGACACCCTACATATGACATTTTGGAGATACTTGAAGCCATTTGAATATAGACAATGTTCAAGAGTTTTGGCCCAAAATGTGTGAATGTGTGTGTGGAGGGAGAGGGAGAGAGAAAGGGGAAGCAAACGTGGCAAATGTTAACAAGTGCCGAATCTAGGTAAGGTATATTTGGGTGTTTATCGTATATATTCTTTCGCCTTTTATATATATTTGAAAAAAATCTTTAAGTTGAAGATGAATTCACCCACAATGAATTGGCAAGTCCTAAAGTAAGTTAAAAAAAATTTTTTTAAATACTGCATTTTCTGACTTTGGGGTGCTAACCCTCTCTCAGACTAACACAGTGCTGAAATTATGCTACAAGTTCTCTAGGCCAGGTGTTGCAGACTGGCAACTGCAGATCTATGTGGGCTGCATACGTGTTTTTCCTTGGCCCAAATAGAGGTTTTAAAAAAAATTAGTTGCCAATGTTCAAAATTCCAAGAATTTTTATGTTGATTTATTATGTAATAAAACATTTTGAAATGTGATGAAATATAAAATACTTATAACAGCAAACATGTATAGATGACTTCTTATGAACACATACTGTTCTAAGAGTCTCAGGTACTGTATATAACTCATTTACTCCCCACAATAGACAGGTACTATTATTATCCTCCCTGTACAGATGGGGAAACTGATGAACAAAGAAGTTAAGTAACTTTCCCAAAGCCTCACAGCTACTGACTTGTAGTGCCAGAGCGGAATCCCATGCTACCTGCCTCCTAATCACTACGCTATACCACCACTCACAAAAATCTGCTCCCCCAGTCTCTTTGCGAAAATCAGAAGATCTGGCAACACATTCCCACCTGGGACCAACTGACCAGAGCCAAGAAGCTATGTCCCCCTGAAGGCAGGGCACCTTCTCTCATGCTTGCCAGAGTCCCCATCAGCCTGCTTCTGGTGCCTTGGGGAGTTGGCCTCTGCTCTAGGCACGGCACAGCTGCATGCACCAGAGTGAATGACGCGTCATAGATATTTCACAGGCACCTGCACACTCACCAGACAAAGCTGGCTATCAGTGGACATGAAGCCCCAGTGGGACAGAGGGCTAGTTACAAGGGTAACTTGAACCAGATGTGTGTATGTGAAGTGGGGGGTGAGGGGAAGGGCAGAGTGCAATGTCAGGATAATTGTTGGTAGATCATGGAGAAAAGTTACAAGAAGCATAGGTTACACACCCCATGGTTGGTAAGACGCCCTATCAGAGGGCAGTGCAGGGCAGTGAGAAGAGCATAGACGAGGACGGCTTGGGTTGGGATCTGATTCCATCACTTAGCTTCTATCTAACCTTGGACAAGCTACTTAACTTCTCCAGCTTCCATTTCCTTGACTATAAAATGGGGCACCTCTAGGGTGGTGGAAAGAATTAGAGAGAGTATGTAAAGTCTCTTTGGCCCCTATTAATATAGATAACCAAAATTCTTTTCTTACTAATAACTCATATTCATATTTTTATATTTTCCCCTAGAGTTACAAAGCAAGAAGAAATTAGGAAGCCATGGTAAGTACCAAGTACTTATTGGATCTTTACATATCAGGGGTCCCGATCTGGCTTCATTTAGCCTGTAGCCTAAGCAGCTGGCAGATTTGTCCTATAGTTTGATGATATTTATTGTTTTTTTTGCAAAACCAGGGTCTCTAGAGTAGAACCTAGAAGAAATTGAGAGAGAGTATGAGAAAAGCAGAGAGCTGGGAAAGATTTGTGAGCAAAGATTTTTAGTAAAACTTCAAAAATAAAAAGTGTTATAGTTATTATTTCTGGATTGTGTAATTATGGGTGATTTTTGCTTTTTTTCTTCTATGATGTTCTATATTTTCCAAGGTTCCTATAAGAAGCATGTATAAACATCAAATAAGTCAATGAAAACACAGTCACAGATACACATAGAGCTTCTCCCCCAGCCGTCACTGATTTTCTCTTTCCCTTTGCCTTTGGCGTCTCCAGGGCAGGGCACGCAGGCCTCCACCTGGGCAGCACAGGCACTGTGAGAGATGCTTCAACCGTCACTGCCACATTCCCGTGGAGCCCAATGTCTCCTGCATGGTGATAAACTGCCACCTGTCCTGTGGCGCCACCTTCCACATGTGCAAAGAGGCAGAGCATGAGCTCCTCTGCCCTTTAGAGCAGGTTCCGTGCCTCAACTCTGAATATGGCTGTCCCCTTTCCATGTCCCGCCACAAGCTGGCCAAGCACCTGCAGGTGTGCCCCGCCAGTGTCGTCTGCTGCTCCATGGAGTGGAACCGCTGGCCGAATGTGGACTCTGAAACAACCCTTCATGAGAACATCATGAAAGAGACCCCCAGTGAGGAATGTTTGGACATAGCCCTGGCCCTCCAGGACCAGAAGGTCCTTTTCAGATCTTTGAATATGGTAGAACTTTTCCCAGAAACTAGGGAGCTCACTGAGGAGGAACCTGCTGTGAATGGTGAAGCCAGCTGGGAGGACATGGGAGGAGCGGTGGGTGGAGCGCATGCTGGGTTAGTACCGCGTAGCTCTCTGTCGGCCACTAAGGAAGAGATGGTAGAGCTGAGTCAAGAAGAACGTGAGATGTTGGCCAAAACCAAAGAAGGGATGGACCTGGGCAAGTTTAACAAGTGGGAAAATATTTTTAGCAAAGAGCATGCAGCCTCTGCTTTAACAAACTCATCAGCAAGCTGTGAGAACAAGAACAGTAATGGCCCAGGGGAAGAACAGATTTCCAACAGCAATAACCTGGAAGGAGAGGACAGTGTTGAAGGGAAAGAACCACAGGAAAACCAGAAACAGCAGGACTATCATGCAGCTATGGAAACAACTGGGCTTGCCCCTTGGCAGGATGGTGTTCTGGAAAGACTGAAGACAGCTGTGGATGCAAAGGACTATAATATGTATCTGGTGCACAATGGGAGGATGCTTATCCACTTTGGTCAGATGCCTGCTTGTACGCCTAAGGAGAGGGACTTTGTTTATGGCAACCTTGAGGCTCAGGAAGTGAAGACTGTTTATACCTTCAAAGTGCCTGTGAGCTACTGTGGGAAGCGGGCTCGCATTGGAGATGCCATGATGAGTTGTAAGCCAAGTGAACACAAGGCAGTAGACACTTCAGATTTAGGGATCACTGTGGAGGACCTGCCCAAATCAGATCTCATCAAGACCACCCTCCTGTGTGCTTTGGAAAGAGAACTCAAAGGTCACGTCATCTCTGAATCCAGGAGCATTGACGGGCTGTTCATGGATTTTGCTACACAGACATACAATTTTGAGTCAGGACAGTTTTCCTCTGGAACAGTGCTGGCTGACCTCCTAACCACTGCCAACCCAGGGGGGCTCCATGTGGAACTCCACAGTGAGTGTGTGACCAGGAGGCACAACAAGAGCAGCTCTGCCTTCACTTTCACCTGCAACAAATTCTTCAGGAGGGATGAATTCCCCCTGCATTTCAAGAACGTCCACACAGACATTCAGTCATGTCTTGACGGCTGGTTCCAGCATCGGTGCCCCCTGTCCTACTTGGGATGTACTTTTATTCAAAACCATTTCCGTCCCCCAGGGCAAAAGGCAAAAGTGATCTACAGTCAAGAGCTCAAGACCTTTGCTATCAAGCCAGAGGTTGCTTCAGAGCTGAATGAGGGAAGGAAGAACAACCATCTCTCAGGCCATGGAGGAAAAAGCCAGAATTCTCTAACCAGCCTGCCCTTGGAGATTTTACAGTATATTGCTGGGTTCTTGGACAGCATCAGCCTGTCCCAGCTCTCCCAGGTATCTGTGCTGATGAGGAATATCTGTGCCACTTTGTTACAAGAGAGAGGGATGGTCCTCTTGCAATGGAAGAAGAAGAGGTATTCTCATGGAGGCACCTCCTGGAGAGTCCATAGACAGGCAAGTAAACACTCATTCACTGATTCATTCATTCAGCAAACATTTAAGAGTCTTTTGTGTGCCAAGCACTGTACTAGGGTTGTACTAGGTTAGTAGGAATAAGACATAATTCCTGAGCTCAAGAAGGTCAGCCTAGTAGGGAGGACAGACTGGTAAACATATTAATGGAATACAAATGGTAGTGCCTGTTTATCTCTATGTATGTGTCCTGGGTATCTTCTGTTTGCCCACATGATCCATTCTCCAACCTTCTCCAACCTCCTCCACAGGTGGCTGATCTCCATAGACTGCCCCAACTGGCTCCCTTGCCTTCCAGCTTCCAGTTAGGCTAGTCTAAGGGGAGTGTATCAGCAGGAGATGAGAGAGGGGGAGGGAGAAGGATGAGGCTGACATTTTTATTCTTCTGACTTCCTCCTTGAATGCATTCTCCCTCCATGACATTTTGCAGTGGCAATGTCCCTCCACTGCAGGTGGCTATATCTCCACATAACGGCTCATTCTGGTCCAATGATCTCCCTTCTTCTTCCCTTTCAAGCCTAGGCTAGTAACACTCTAGATTGGTACTAGCCCAGGTACTGCACTCTATCTTGGGGTTTTCCTAAACCTTGTCCACAACTTGTATATCACTCCTTTTTGTTTTATTTTTTCAAATATATCTTTATTGATTTCAGAAAGAGGAAGGGAGAGGGAGAGAGAGAAACATCAATGATGAGAGAGTCGTCATTGATCGGCTGCCTCCTGCACACCCCCTACTGGGGATCGAGCTCGCAACCCGGGCATGTGCCCTGAGCAGGAATCAAACCTCAATCTCCTGGATCCTAGGTCGATGCTCAACCGCTGAGCCACACCCAGCCAGGCTATCATTCTGTTTTTTAAAATTCTCTTCAAATTACCCAATTTGAGTGTGCCATCTGTTTCCTGCCTAGACTCTGACTGACACAGTATGCCAACAAATTCCCCTCAGTCCCATATCAACTGATTCTTTAAACCATTTTTGCCTTCATTAAGGCATTTGGAAATTCTAAAATAATTTGGCCTAATGATTTCCCCTAGTTCAAATGTCTATTAAAATTTTTTAAAAATCTGCTGTATAAATCAAATGTGTTCCTTGTACCATACAGAAGTGAAACTCCTAGTTCATCACATCCGAAGTCCCCTTAGCATCCTTTCTTATGGCAAACATATTGGTAATATGAACCACAAATTATGTGTCCATTGAGGTCAATAATTCCATAATTTCACAGCTGAGTTTCTTCCCAATATGTGGGTGTGTGCAAACTGGCGTTGGGGAGTTAGACTTGTTTATATTTATTTTTATTAATTATGTATAAAACATCTTGTATATTTACTATTATTTATTTCCTGAACAGTCTTTTTCAAAAAGTAATTGAGATTCTCCCTCATGTATTCATGCCTGCACCCATGTGTTAAATAAGCACTGACTGCCAACCAACCATGTGCTAGGGATAAGCAAGAATGAGACTAAGACCCTGCCCTTGAGGAACTGAATAGTCTAGAATTGCCTAATATCTTCCTCTGTAAAATAAGATGCAAATAATTTAATTTACATATTAGAAATTCCATTATTTTTTGGCTCATGTTTGTTTCCAATTCAATGATCGCTGCCCACTCTTGAATATCATAAGAGAATTTAGTTGGAGCATCCTTTAACTCCAACTAAATTCTCTTTCTGGAGTTAAAATGGCTCTTTAAAGTAAAAAGGGACATTGTTCTAAGATTCCAGGAAACACTGTTCTTACATAAGACCAATGACAAGAAACAGGGTGAAGTGATCAGATTGAAAGGGTATCAGGTTATACCTATTCTAGTAACCAGATTTTAAAATTAGTGACTTTGCCACCACATCCTAGATGGAAAGTCCAGAGGATATTTGTGTACCAGACTCCTAGATTTCTACTAAGATTTCTGTTGTAAGATTTCTTATATGTTATAGTACTTTTAGTTTCAAGCAATAGAAAACCAACTTAAAATGGCATAAACAATAAAGAGAATTTATTGACCCCAAATAACTAAAAAGTCCATAGGGAATAGCTTCAGGTAAGGCTTGATCTAACAGCTCAAGAAAATGCCCCCAAATGATGTTTTTATTTCTATTTTTTAATCTCTACTTTCTCAATAGTGGCTCCATTCTAAGACATAGTGCTCCCTTGGTGGTTCCTGTTGACTGCCGGCAACTGCTAAGACTGCTGTTTACCAATTCAAGTGCAGAGGGGAAAAGAGAATCTGTTTCTTGATATCTTAAAAAAAGTTCTGGAGTAGAGTCTTGAAACTAATTGTCCTGATTTGAACCATGTGTTTATTCTAGAACTGGTGTGTGTGTGGTGTGTGGTAGTGTGATAGAGCATTCAAAATGCAGACTAGTATTAGTCATTCCGACATAACTGCATGGCTGGCTAGGAAGATTATCAACTGGATGGGGGAACTAGGAACTGGGTGCTAAAGAAGGAACTAACAGAATGTCTGCAGCAGGCACTAACCACTCTCTGGAAGCTAAGAACAGGAAAAACAGAAAGGCATTTCCTTATACTGTTCAAATAAAGCTAGCCTGGGGGTATTGCCCCAATGTTCACTTTTGAGCTTCTGTCTTTTCCAACAGATCTGGCAATTCAGCAGCCTCTTCTCTAAAATCAACAGCTGGGAATTTAATGAAGTCACCTCCATGTCTGAGCACCTGAAGACCTGTCCTTTCAACGTTGTAGAGCACAAGACCGACCCAATTCTTTTGACCAGCATGTGTCAGCCCCATGAGCAGGCCCGAGAGAGCTTAGTCACCACCTTTAGAGCCAGACCACAAAAAAGACAAGCCAACTAAAGACTCAGATACTACCATTCTTAAATTCCCCCTCGGAGCTACTGAAAGTAGGACAGAGCATGGTTTTGGGGACTTCCCTCTGCAAACTGCATATTGCTTATCTGGGTGTATTAGAACATGTACTGTCCTTCAAAACCTGAGCAGTTGCACAAGGTCTAAGAATTTCCTAAGCCCTGCCTTGTACAAGTGCTACCATACCATATTGATGACTTGTTTCTTTCCCTTTTTTATTTCGAAAATAAAGCAGTCTGAAAATAGGTAACTTGAGGTCACTGAGGAAGATAAGCCCAATTCCTTAGAGGTGAGAGAGCAATGAATTCCATAACCGGCATAGGCCTGTGCTTTTATGGGGGGTTTCAATTTACAAGCACTTTCGCATTTGTGGGGCAGGCAATGCAGGAATGCGGACTAAGGTGCCAGTTCTCCTTGGTGAAGGGTGCACAGTTGGAAGGTTCCAGAGCTGGGGTTGTCTTGACATTCAAGTGCAGGGCTGTTTTCTGTTGTCCCATTGCCCCTAAACCCAGCCAGTCTAAACACAGCCTGATAGAATAGAGACCTTGGCTGAGCACAGCAGCCTTGAGGACACCACCAACCAAAGACTTAAAGGCAGAAATAAGGTCACAGAGTGTAGAATCTTGGCAACACAAAGGACAACCTTGAAAAAAATGAAAAGTCCAAAAGAGATAGTATTTTCAAAAAGAAAATTAGGACAAACTGCCTAAAGCTTACATTCAAACATTTTAATAATGACTTAAGAGTCAGGGTTCTTCTGAAAATTCTATTCTAGGTCCGGATCAGGGAGAACATAGGCATGGCCCAGCACCAGCACCCACTGCAGGTCCTGTGGCACCAGTCACCAGGCCCTAGGTACCACCTGAGTACCCCATGGAGGATCTTGGGAAGGAAGTCATGGGCACATAGTGGTTACCTAATTGCTCCTACCTGTTACTGGTCATGACTCCAATCTGTCAAAAATGAGTGACACTGCTAGTTTGGGGTAACAAACAATACTCAGGAGAACAAAAGTAAAAGAAAAATACATACTAGAAATGGGCTTCCCCTAAAGCAGGGTTTCTGGGAACTGTGACATTGTGCAATGGATAAGTCTTTGTCGTGAGGGACTATCCTGTGTGTCATAGGATGTCTTGCAGCATCCTTAGCCTCTAGTCATAGATGACAGTAGTATCCCCACAGCTATAACAACCAAAAATGTCTCCAAGCATTGTTAAATACCCTCTGAGTCACTCCTGGTTGAGAATCACTGCCCTAGGGGATGACGTACCAGTGGCCTTAAGTTAGGATCAGCTGTTTAGCATGGCAAAATCTTCTCTCCCACTACTTATCTACAGTGGTGATGATTTCATCAGCTCTTCTCTATTTACAAAATAGGTTCTAGACACATGGTGATTGGAAGCTGGGAACCAGATGGAACTGGTTTGTTTGGTTTTGCTTCATGCCCTGGGGTCATTTGCAAAAGCCTATGCCGTCAGCTCTCTCCAGGCACGGCTGAAGCCAGGAAGGCAAAGCTATTTATCTTGTGTTTACATCCCTCTCACTTTTATTGGTGCCATTTTCTCAGCAGTCCTAGTCATCAAGCAAGTGAGAAAGAAGGGAAGGAGGACAGGCGTAGTGGGGAAGTAGAGAACAAAGAATTTAGCCAACAAGGCTCCGAACGTGGCTCAACGCTGGTGTGGATGAAGTAGGTGGCTCCTCTGAGAACAGTCATGAAGGCATTCGAGCAAGTCCCAGAGCAGAAGTATGCTCATCTTTTCATTTTAATGTGCCGCTTGGTACTATTCCATAATGTAACTATTTTTCTTCATCCCTATTGCTTGGTTTATATTTCACATTTGTATATAAGGCACCATTTTCTAAAAATATAACTAGAGTGTGAGTTAGGATTTTATTCAGTGAACATGAGTAACTGGAAACAACTAACACTGCGGTGGGAAAAGGGGGGAGTTCTCCAGGTATCAGTTCCATTTGTTTTGGATCTAGTCCTTCCTATATGCAAAAAGAAAGCTCCTAAAGTCCATTCTGGGTTTCTTATTTTACTAGGAAAAAAAAGAGAGAGAGAGAGAGAAAGGCGAGCTACAGGTCAACGGAGATGAAAATGATGGGCTACTCTTAGATGGGTGAGAAGTATAGAGAAAGGAAGCGAGCAGAGGGCTTTCTCTTCACAATCGGGTGGGAGGGGGCAGGCCAGGGTTCAGGGGAGCAGTCAGGACAGAGCCACACTGCTCTGTGGTCTGCACACTTCCAGTCACATTTTACTTTCTCTGTTGCTGCCTTCAGAGCAATATTGAATCCAGTCAACATCATCAAACATATCTTACAAGATATCTAATTGTATATGTTGCAGAAAAGCAGGGTACTGCAGGTGTGCACTGGTCTACACAAACAAGCACACTTTATGGTGAGAGGGCAGTTGGAGAAAAATGAAAACCTTTTACACAGACTGAATTAGACAGAAGGTGATTAGGTTGGTGAGAAGGCTGTCCTGGACAGCATGGGCAGCAAGCCTTATCTGACAGAGGCGAGACGGTTAGACATGACTTCAGGCTAAGGAGCACTGAGGGGAGTGAAAAGGGACTGTGTGCCCAGAATAGGAGCCTGGATGGAGAGGTGTCCGTGAGCAGAGCTCTTGATGACCATCACCACCAAGATAATCGGTTCAGAGTAGAAATCAGCCAAACTTGGAGGGTGAGGTCTGTAGAACTGAGGCAGTTCTGTAGAACTATTGCCTTAGTAGCCAAGGGACCTGGAAAAGAAGTTTCTGTCTTAAGATAAAGGGAAAAGGGAAAAGCAAGGTGGGACTTGGAGATACAACCAGAAAAAACACTGTAACATTCTGACCTATGTGTGATGTCAAATAAAACTGAAGTGAAGAATGGGATTGTGTATATCTGCGATGACGTAGCTGTGTGTGCCCGAAATCCCAACGTCTCTATAAGCAGAAATGAAAACCACTTTGCACTCCAAAAGGCTAACTGGGTGCATCTGGTAAGTTGGGTCTAGAGAAAGATTTGTGGTTCGCTGGCATAGAAGTCATCGTGGAAACAAAGGAGTGTGTGTCTTAAAGAAAAGCCAAGGAACAAAACTTAAGGGACCCAGTGCCCTAGGCATATGGGCAGCTCCCAACTTTAGGAAGTCCTGGGGTATCTGTGGATCTTGGTCACTAATCCTAGCTGCCACTATTTTCATCTTTGACAGTTAGACCCAACTTCGGATACTGATTACAGTGCAGAATTCTATGTCTTACCAACAAAAGATTCCCTACACCAACCAAATCCCTGACTTTGATTTAGATTTTGTTTTGATTTTGCCTAGGATCTCCTATCTCTGGCCTTATGGAGCACAATGGTCTGGGCTATGATAAACCCACCATGCCCTGCCCTTTAATTCTCCTTCATCCTGATACTTTGGTAGTGATTGGTTGTTGCCCATCACTGGCTGTCCAAATACCTTCGCCTTTTTCCTATCAGCCTCAGCCCTGAACCACACTGAAGCTTCATGAGCTTTTTCCATCTATCCTCTTACTTGGCCATCAATTTCAGTCATCCACCCACAAAGAAGACACTGTCTCTGGCTAAACCCTGTTACCACTTCATCAGAGACTATGTTCCTTTAGCTTTTTGTCTTTTTTGTTGTTGTTGCCAAATCTCCCCTTTCCTCCTTCCTAATTCCTAATTTGTGCATCTTCTTCAATTATCATCATGTCCTAAAAAAAGTGTAGTCATTACTCTCAGGCAGAAGGTGGCTGGCCTCTCACAACTGCTAAAGCCAGTAAAAGCTGACACTACCTGTCCTCCTGTTCCCCCACCTTACCACCATTCCCCAGGCTGATCTGTTTCGGGCTGGGTTTAAGTACCACCTAAGGAAAAGACTCAGCCCTAGACATCCAGGGCACAGAGGAATGGGCAGTGGTAGGAGGGAGTCTTCTGGACATGCCTAAAAGAGGGAAAGAGAACTGAAGCCATGGCAGTCAAAGCCATTGAGGGTTGCACACAAAGCATTATTTACTTCAACCTAGAGAGGAAACATAGTTCCATTTTATTTCCAATTTTAAGACTAAGCAGAGAAAAGATATCTCTGCAGGAAAGGAAAATAAGGAAACAGCACAACCAGGTAATACAAGTAATCGAGACATAACTTCCCAGGTAAGCAGACCAGGAAGCCTAGAGCTCACAAAAGCAGAAAGCAGAGCCTGAGGGGTTAGAAGGAGCACTCATGGGGAAGGAGGTGGGACTACAAGATAAATGTCTAGGAGCTCACACAGGAGAGAGAGGACACTGAAAAGGAGCTTCTTCCTCGTGCTATCTCTGACCCAAGCCCTAATGGAGAAGGAGGGGGAAGTCCATCTAGAATCTCAGGTAACTCATGACATCTTATTAGACACTTGCAACAGGATGGGAGGGAGTAGAGGCAGAGCCACTTTGGACATGGGAAGTCACAGTGCAGAATATAGTGAGGGCCATTTACTGGAGAAGGTTGACATAATTTGCAGGGAAGAGTCCAAAGCGTCCATGGCAACGTCCCCGCCACCAGCCCTCATCCACCATCTCAATGTCAGTGATGATGTCATCTGGATCAAAGGAAATCTCATCACTTCCCTCTGGAGAGAAAATTGATGGGATATTAGGATGGTCAGACAGGAATCCCTCTATCCGTGTGCCCACTCTAAACCTCAGGAAGGGAAAGAGGCCTGGTCTTCTTGATGCCAAGCCTGGATACTTTTGTGACCCTCAGAATTCCTCCCCCTCTCTTGTTTCAAGGGCCTTCAGGCACCAGACCCCTCAGGTCACTCGCAACCTACCTCCTTGATAATCATACAGGGCTACAGCCGAGATCCCAGCCCCAGTCGGACAGCCTGATGATCCTGCATTATGAGAAACATAAACATAGTCTCACCAGCATGGAGAAGGAAAACAAACAGGTTCTTCTGAGTAATGGGACAATGCCTTCCCCTGACCAAATTCAGGACCTGACCAAATTCAGGAGCTGATTCCCCCTC